TAATTCACTAAAAATTGAAAAATAAATGAAATTTACTGATTAATACTAATAATAATCAGTAAAATTTGAAAAAAAAAAAGATTTTTAATTCAATGAAAATGAAAAAGGAAACGAAAAGTTGTTAAAAAAAATATCATAATAAGAATAACAGTACAAAAAAATACTTACCAAAAAATTTTAAAAATAAAAAAATCCTTAATTTGCGAAAAATAGAAAAGGAAACGAAATTCACTGATTAATTCATACTAATAATAATCAGTAAAATTATATCCTTTTTTCAATAATGAATATTTTCTTAAAGTATATACACATATTATTCTTATCAATATAGAATTAAAAGTATATATATATATATATATATATATATATATATACACACACACACACACACACACTTAATGTATAATAGTATTAGTACAAAATAAATTATACTTTCCTTAATAATTAATTATTAATATTATTGCCTAATAATTATGTATTGTCACATTTTTACAGGGCGTTTGGTTGGAGGGGGGGAATTATATGGGAAAGGAATTGTAATTCCATGGGAGTTGAATTACTGGGAATAAAGTGGGAATTTAAATTCCAGTGTTTGGTTGACATGAATAGAATTACTGGGAATTTCAATTCCAATGTTTGGTATACATGGGAATTGAAAGGGAATAAGTAGTATAAAGTCAAAAATGTCCATTATTGTTGTTAGACATTAATTTTAAGTTAAAATAGGAAGGGGTAATGTTGACTCATCACTATCTTTTTTTCTCAGGAATTAAAATACCAGGGGGGGACATGGGATTTTAATTCCATGAAAATGGGGGAATTGCAATTCCATGAAAATGGGGGAATTGCAATGCAATTCCCTCCAACCAAACTACGGAATTTAATGGCCTTTGGAATTAGGTGGAAATTAAGTGGGAAGGGAATTTAAAATCCCTCCAACCAAATGCCCTGTTAGTGTAATTATTATGGTAATTTGTATACATATATATTTTTATACTTAATGTATAATATTATTGGCATAAAATAAATTATATTTAACTGAATATATAATTAATTTTTAATATAATTTTCTAATTTTTATTAATGGTAATTATTTAATAATTTTTCTTTCATTCTTTCGTGTAATTATTATGGTAATGTATTTAAATATTAGAAGAGAACAAATACTATAATTAATATAATTAATAAAATTATTATGGTAGTTGCCACAATATTTGGTAATTATAATTAATATAATTATTGAAACTGAGAAATATAAGATTTCTTCCCTAGAAAAATTTGTGACAATTTTATTAAATTATAATTAATAAAATATGAAATATAATTAAAGAAATGAAAGTATAAAATTAACGAAACATGAATATTTATAATTTTTTCTAAAAATATAAATACACTTATGCACTATAATAATCATACAATATTTAAATGCTACTTTTTAAATTTCTAAATGTAATTTTTTAATTATAATTATATCAATATAAATTATAATTAATGAAATTATATTATAAAATTTTTCTATATACATATTAATAAACATTATGTGTATATACAATGTATTATACAATCATATAAGAAAATGCGTTCGATATATATATATATATATATATATATATATATATATACACACACACATGTTTTTTTTATTGATTTCTAAGTACAATTCTCTTAGTTAGTATTCATATATTTAGAATTATAATATATATGAAATACAATTAGGAATAAATCATCTTAATTATGTGTACAATATCATTTCTGTTTATAATAATTAAAGAAAAAATAAATATGTGAACCAATGATTTCAAAATGAGATTAATATACAGTTTCAAATAAATATAACATGATTAGACGATTTACTTTACTTAGTTTTAATTTTCTTAATGAAGTGACTTTTCTTTATTCGTTTTTTGATGGAATACTAAGGGAGTGTTTGGATTGTTGGTAAATCTATAGTATAATTAAAAACAAAATTTTATTTACTTGATTTTCCGCCCAAACAATAGTAAATAGTAAAGGTAAATTAAAAAATGAAAAGAAATATATCGCAATAATTCTCTACATCATCATCAATTAAAAAATGAAACAAAAATTAGGTAAATTGGAAAATAAATGAATATTAATAACTGACTGAAAATTAAAAGTGAAAAAAGAAACAGAAATTACGTTAATTGGAAAAGGAAATGAATATTAATAATTCACGAGAAAAGGGTCAAATAGACCCCTAAACATTACCCTAAAGGTCAATTAGCCCCCTAAACTTTAAAAAATGTCAATTAAACACTCAAACATGCTAAATTTGGTCAATGAAGCCCAAAAATCGGTAAATGACCTGTTTTTACCGGTCATTTTAATTCCGGCGACGAAATCCGGCCACCGGTGACGAATTCCGGCCACCGGCGAATTTTTCCGGCGGCCGACGAATTAATTTTCTGGCCGTCCGGTCGTCTTCCACCGGAGAAGACGACCGGACGGCTGCCTTCTCCAATGGAGAAGGCGGCAGGCGGCCGTCTGCCGCCTTCTCCAGTGGAGAAGACGACCAGATCTGGTCGTCTTCTCCATTGGAGAAGATGACCAGATCTGGTCATCTTCTCCAATGGAGAAGACGACCAGACGGACGTCTTCTCCATTGGAGAAGACGACCAGATCTGGTCGTCTTCTCCACTGGAGAAGGCGGCAGACGGTCGCCTGCCGCCTTCTCCATTGGAGAAGGCTGGAGAAGGCGGCCGTCCGGTCGTCTTCTCCGGTGGAAGACGACCGGACGGCCGGAAAATTAATTCGCCGGCCGCCGGAAAAATTCACCGGTGGCCGGATTTCGTCGCCGGAATTAAAATGACTGGTAAAAACAGGTCATTTACCAGTTTTTGGGCTTCATTGACCAAATTTAGCATGTTTGAGTGTTTAATTGACATTTTTTAAAGTTTAGGGGGCTAATTGACCTTTAGGGTAATGTTTAGGGGTCTATTTGACCCTTTTCTCATAATTCACTGAAAATAAAAAATTATCCATAATTGACTAAAATGGAAAAGAAAATTGTGATTATTGCATTTTAATTTTTCACAATAATATTACACAGTAGAATAAATCAAATCACAATTATATCATAAATCTTTTACAATTTTAAACAATGGAATAGAAATTAAAAATGGAACGGAAATATTTCAATAATAATATTCTACATCATCAATTAAAAATGGTTCGAATAGGTAAAAATATCACTGTATCTGATATTCTAATTGACTGAAAATAAAAAAGAATAATTGTCTAAAAATGAATCTGATATTACTAATTGACTGAAATTATAAAAGGAAATGAATATTAATAATTGACTGCAAATAAAAAATGACTAAAATGAAAAAAGAAATTGATAGATCATTGCATTTTAATTAAAAAATAGGACGAAACTTAAAAATTAGACGCAAATATTTCAATAATAATATTCTACATCATCAATAGTAAATGCATATTTTAAACGATAGTAAAGGTAAATTAAAAATAGAACGAAAATATTACAATAAAAATATTATAATCATCAATTAAAAATGGAACGAATATTATGAAAAAATATCAATGCATCTAATATTCTAATTGACTAATTGACTGGAAATAAAAAAGAATAATTGGCTGATAATGAATCTGATATTACTAATTGACTGAAAATAAAAATGAGCACTAATTGACTGAAGTTCTACCATTATATATTTTTACCCGAGTCACCCATCCTTTTGGACTAAAGGTGTTAGCTCTAGACGAAGATGAACAAGATTGTGTTGTTACTACCAATTTGTCTACAAAGAGGTTTCAATAGTTTGTAAAATATAATCTGTGATATTATGTTTTTTTTTTTAAATGGCAAAATTGCTATATATCTAGACAAGAAATATATTTTCCATACAAATAAATTAGGATATCAATTAATTTTTATAACTGAATTGCTAGAGAACGAGCAAATTTGCCTAATTTATAAAAATACTAAATAATGATAAATAAAATCTCCAAAGTTACAGCGCCGCATGCGTACATCTATATATTAGCTATTAATTTGAGCAATTAATAACATAAAAACACATAAACGATCCAAACAATACCTTCAATTGCACTATATAATATTTGATGTTCTAATTTAAATAATTATATATCAATCAAAATATTCTTAATATATTACAACAAATTCATTTCGTGCATCGCACGGGCGCAAATACTAGTACAGAGTAATAACTAAAGCATAACCTTGACCCTTAAACCAGTAGTAGTCCTTGACGAAGTGAACACTTAAATCATATATCACATCTACTTTAATCTTGTAGATGAGATTATTTTGCTTAAAATAGTGTTTCTTAATTATATTATATACTATATATTTAAATGATGTTTTACTTCTCAAATAAAGTCACTTTAGACTAGTTTTTTTTTTTTTTTTTTTTTTTTTTTTTTTTTTGCCTTATGAAGCACAAAGAATCAATACCGTCCCATTGGGGCTCAAATTCATGACATCCTATTTGGAAGAGTTACTTCATTGCCACTAGACCACAAGATCATTGACACTTTAGACTTGAATTATTTATCTTGAAATTAACATATTGGGTGTGTTTGATAAATAGTTGATAGTTGTTAGCTGACTGAGTTAATGAGTTTGAATAGTTGATACTGACTGTAGAAATATATTTGGTAAATTAGCTGTTAGCGGATAGTTAATTACATACAAAATGATTTTCTCAAAATGCTGATCGAATGAATTTTAACATTTTAAGCAATAAATTGTTACAAAAAATTAAGTAATTATATTGAATATTTAATAAATCAAACAGCTAATAGTGATCAAATAAATTAAAGTTAATTGATAAATTAACTATATTACCAAACAACCATCAACAATGTATAATCAAATTAAAACTACGGAGTACAATAATTATGGGGTGGCCTTTAGGTTGTTTAAAAAGCCATGTAAGACCAATGGCTAATTAACCCATTAGCCTAAAAGTTGAAAGAACAAACGTATTTTGAATACTCAAATAGTAGAAGCCTGTTACGTTGAGAAATGAGAATGAGGAGTGCAAGCAAGTACGGCGCTATATACAATATAGTTTGTTGCTTGCAAATCCTAAAACTTAACTCCTATACGAGGAGCAGCCTTTCGGAGATCTCAAGGGTCTGTCCGTCTTCTCGACATCTCCGAACTCATTTGACCCCTATAACCACTAATCCTCTTTCATTCTTTCCTCTGAAAACTTAGAACCCATTCTCGCAATTCTGTTATAATCTGCTCCGCAGGATACTTTCTGAGATTCTTTATAGAGATTGTGAAATGGTGATTTCTTCCGCGGCTAATTGTGCTTCATCGTCGGCGGCGGCGGCGGCGGCGGCGACATCGCACTCAAATTCATCGTCTGTAGTCTTGCGTCACCATAAGAACATAGCTGTTTCTTCGATCTTTTCACGGAAAGTTGCCCCCCGGGATATTTCTTTACTATCTAAGCGAAGCCCATCGCGGAGTGTGATAAGTACGAAAGATGCCTACTTTCTTTATCGCCATTTTTTGTTGTTCTTTTGAATCTATAAACTCGCTTTGGGCTGTCTTGATTCTATACTGTTTATTTGAAAGCTTCATTTTTTAGTATCTTCAATTAGTTTGTTATGCATTAGTTTACTATCTGGAATCTGGAGCTATGCAATTGATTACAAAGTTTCTTGCCATATGTGAAAATTTTGAGTCTTTTTAGCTGGATTCTATGAATTTCAATTGCTTTACTTTTTTATTTTTTAATCACAGATTTTCATTTTACTTGAAACTTTAGTGAAATAGTAGGATTATTAGGGTAATTACTGTCTTTGCTGGTCTGTGTTATATTATTACCCTTAGTTGATGGCTTGATGCATAGTTTATTAGTATTATTGAATCAATGGCATCAGCACTGTGTTATTTGCTATAAGATGTATTCAAGAATTGTATTGTTGAGAGATTTTCAGGTTTGTGTGTTACCCATTGTTGATTTTTGTGTGTAAATGGCACTTCGATTTTAGGTTGTGTAGCGTCTCCATTGGCTCCGACAGGGAATGAAACTACAGCGAAGAAACTGAAAGACACGGTGTCATCAGTTTCCCCGCCTGAGGAGCTTAAAGATGCTGTTATGTGTTTTAAGAATAAGTGTAATTCGACTGTCAGTATAACTGTCGTGGGGGCATCTGGTGACCTTGCTAAGAAGAAGATATTTCCTGCACTTTTTGCCCTTTATTATGAAGATTGCCTCCCTGAGGTCTGTCTCGAAATTCTTTCCTCTTTATACATTATACCAGCATGCATTGTTTGTTGTTCGTTTGAAGAACCATATGCTTAGAATGGGTTTTATAAGTAACTTATTTGTTTTATGGTTTTATGGGGGTTTCAGCACTTTACTATTTATGGTTATGCCCGGAGCAAGATGACTGATGAAGAACTTAGGAACATGGTTAGCAAAACTCTTACTTGCAGGATAGATAAGAGGTAAAGCTTTTCTATTCTAATAGTGATTTGATGTCCTGTTATACACTACTGGACAGTGGACACCATGGCACTGCCATATGTTTTTCGTTTTAGTCCTTGCAATAAATGTTTTGGTCTTTCGCTATCTCTCTAAGCAGGGGGCTTCACGGTGATTGTAATGTTTGTTGATTGGCTAATAAGCTTTGGTGAACTTCATGTGCAGGGAAAACTGTGGCGAAAAGATGGAACAGTTCCTAAAAAGGTGTTTCTACCATAGTGGCCTGTATGATTCGGAGGAAAATTTTGCAGAGCTTGATAGAAAACTCAAGGAGCATGAGGTATGTTGCACTAGGTTCTCAAATAGTTAGCCTATCAGCCAATTTTGGCTTATTTGACCACTATTAGCTGTTTGACTTGGTTAAACAATCAATGAGTGTTTGATTAATTAGCTTTTTGTAACAACTTATTGCTCCAAAATGCTAAAATTCAAAATGCTACTCAAAGTAGCTTTTTCAATCAGCTTTTTGAGAGAGTTAGCTAACAGCTAATTTACCAAACACTTTTCTACAATCAGCTAATGCTATCAACTAGTCAAACCCACTAACCCAATCAGCTAACAGCCATTTACCAAACACTCCCATTATATCTTTATGATTATGTTCTCTTTAGGTTCTGGTTTTGATTATCAATTAGCGTATTTACAGGGTGGGAAGCTTTCCAATCGCCTCTTTTATTTGTCGATTCCGCCAAACATATTCATAGATGCTGTACGGTGTGCAAGTGTCTCTGCGTCGTCTGCCCATGGATGGACTAGAGTCATTGTGGAGAAGCCCTTTGGTCGGGATTCTGAATCCTCTGCTGTGTTAACACGATCTCTTAAGCAGTACTTAAAGGAAGATCAAATTTTCAGGTACGAAAGCTTGCCCATGATCTAATTATGTCAATCAAATCTTTTTTTTTTTTTTTGACACTTTACCCTCATTTTCGAATAGGATTGACCACTATCTGGGGAAGGAGCTTGTGGAGAATCTTTCTGTCCTCCGCTTCTCCAACCTTATATTCGAACCACTGTGGTCAAGGCAATACATAAGGAATGTACAGTTTTTATTTTCTGAAGATTTTGGCACTGAAGGACGGGGAGGGTACGTTTTCTTCTTCTCTAAGGCCTATTTGCGTAATCCAAATAATTTTCGTTAACTCATCGTTCCTGATGCATTATAATGCTATTCCCAGTTACTTTGACCATTACGGGATAATCAGAGACATTATGCAAAATCATCTTCTTCAAATCCTTGCCCTCTTTGCCATGGAAACTCCTGTCAGTTTAGACGCAGAAGATATTAGGAATGAAAAGGTTAGTCCTTTTATTACAAGGCTTGCTGTTATTATTATTATTATTATTATTATTATTTTATTTTAGTTTTTAGTTCTCTTTCTGACGGGTGGTGTATTCCAGGTAAAAGTCTTACGTTCCATGAGGCCTTTACAACTTGACAATGTGGTAATCGGGCAATACAAGGGGCATACGAAAGGGGGAGTTACTTATCCAGGATATACTGATGACAAGACTGTACCAAAGGATAGCGTAACCCCGACATTTGCTGCTGCCGCTCTTTTCATAGATAATGCTAGATGGGATGGTGTGCCGTTTTTAATGAAAGCCGGGAAAGCTTTACATACCAAAAGGTAAGTTAAATCATGTGAAGTCTTGTATTTCCTTCCAATTTTTCAGTTATTTATGTATTCTGCTTCTTCCCAGTGCCGAGATTAGAGTGCAGTTTAGGCACGTGCCGGGAAATTTGTACAACAAAAACTTTGGCTGTGACCTTGACCGGGCAACAAATGAGCTTGTTATACGTGTCCAGCCCGATGAAGCTATTTATTTGAAGATCAATAACAAGGTCCCGGGTTTGGGGATGAGACTGGACCGCAGTAATCTGAATCTTCTATATTCAACCAGGTACCTTTTTCAAATACGATTTGCTGAATCTTCTATACTCAACCATGTCCCCGCTTTACAACTTTTATTATTTTTTTTTAATTTAAATTATAGGTACTCGAAGGAGATCCCGGATGCATATGAAAGACTGCTTCTCGATGCTATAGAAGGCGAAAGGAGGCTTTTCATTCGCAGTGATGAACTCGATGCTGCTTGGTCTCTATTCACCCCGGTATTAAAGGAGCTCGAGGGGAAGAAAATAGTTCCCGAGTACTATCCCTATGGAAGTCGAGGACCCATCGGAGCACACTACCTTGCAGCAAGATACAACGTGAAATGGGGCGATCTTGGGGTGGATCAATAACTCTCTCGAGTCTGGAATTCATCATCATCTTAACCAAAAAGCCATTAAAGCTCAGGAAGAACACTGTTAAGATCTGTAAAACTTGAGTGCCAGTGAAGGTGAAAGAAACATTAGTTTAGTGAGATAGATGATAGAACCCAAAGATGGAAAACTGGGGAAATTTCTATCTTTTTTTTTTTACCTTCAGTAATTCTTTTCCTTGTCAACTATCTATCTTATTGGTTGAGATTTTTCTCCTAAGGAGACATTATTGATCTCTAACTTCCTTTTTGTCCTTAATTCCTTAATGAACCATGCAATGTGTGACTTGAGGGAAATATGCATATCATGTGCATCTGTTTTATTTGATAGTGATGCAATCATGTGCATGTTTGGTATTTCTTTTATTTTGTCTTGTCTTCATGCAGCATCACGTAATTAAGCTGCAGCTACTTCATTGTAGCAGCACCTATGCATACATCACACACATGTATCATGTCTTTATTCCGATGCATCCGTAGTTATTGTGTATTCAAGTGTTGTTTATGACACATTGAGGTTTCGTATTGTTATGATTAATGTCATGGTGATATTTTGTTGCGTAGTTAACCTGTATACGCGTGTTGTTTATATTAAGGTTTTGTGGTGATATTTTGTTGCGTAGTTAATCCTGTATTCGAGTGTTGTTTATGCCATATTGAGGTTTTGTGTTGATATTTTGTTGCGTAGTTAACCTGTATTTGAGTGTTGTTTATGCCATATCGAGGTTTCGTGGTGATATTTAGTTGCGTAGTTATCTTGTATTCAAGTGCTTTTTGTTGCGTAGTTAACTTGTATTCGAGTATTGTTTATGCCATATCGAGGTTTCGTGATGATATTTTGTTGCGTAGTTAACCTGTATTTGAGTGTCGTTTATGCCATATCGAGATTTTGTGGTGATATTTTGTTGCGTAGTTAACCTGTATTTGAGTGTTGTTTATGCCATATCGAGGTTTCGTGGTGATATTTTGTTGCGTAGTTATCTTGTATTCAAGTGTTGTTTATGACGTATCGAAGTTTCGTATTTGTTATGTTAATGGCATTATGATACGTTAGAGAACTAATAAGGATTTTTCAACAAGTAATTCACTATCAGAAACATAATAAATGGATACCATATTTGATTTGATCTTTTCATTCAAATAAGGACATAAGAATCCTATATAATAATATAGACATGATCTTTTTTGGTATATTTAATCTCTTTTAGATATTACATTTTGAATTACATTGGTGATAAAAAAAAAATGATTGCAAATAATATATATAGATTATAAAAAAAAAATTAGTGGAATCATATAAATAAATAGATTTTAGTATTTTATTTATGAGGTAAATCTTTACTCATAAAAAGCGAAATATTCATGCACAAAGAGTCAACATTGCCTCCAGTGAGGCTCGACCTTATCATTTAGGCTATGTTTGACAAACTTAACTGAAAATGAAAAAGAGCTGAAAGTTGAAAAGCTATAAGTTAGGAGCCGAAAACTGAAGAGCCGTTAAAGTAATTGTTATGCTTGAAAAAAGGACATATTTATAAAATTTAAATTAGTATATATATTGAGAAAAAAAAAAAAAGAAAAAAAGAAAAAAGTAAAAAGAAAATGAAAAGACACATGAGCTGAAATTAGATGAAGGATATATATATTTAATATTTATACGCAGAATAATACGGAAAAGGGAGTAATAGATACATACGGTGAATGAGTGTGTATATATATAGAGAGAGAAGGAGGGTGGTGTAGAGAGAGAAAGAAAGACAGAGAGACATAGAGGCGCGATGGAAGGGCAAGATAGGGTTCTGGCGACAGCGCAGCAGATCGTGAAGAGCCTCCACACCTCCACAAACGTCAACACTGATGACATGCTTCTCATCTTCTCCAGCTTCGACAATCGCCTCTCCAACCTCTCCAATTTCATGGCTTCTTCTTCCGCAACCTCTACTCCTTCGTCCGCCAAAGCTGCCGCCGCCGCCGCGGGAGACGACGATTCCTTTCTCGATCGTCGCTTCGAGGAGGCTGAGAAGCTTATCCTGGACGGCGGCGTCGGCGATCCCCCTTCCTCCGAAGTCTACCTCGCTGCCGTTGACGAGATTATTCGGTTGACCGAGGATCTGGATCTACCGCCGGACAACGCCGATGCCGTTATGGACCGAGCGGAGGCTGCTCTTCAGCTTGCCATGGCACACCTCGAGGAAGAGTTCCGTCACATCCTCATTCGGAGCACTATCCCCCTCGACTCCGAACGCCTCCACAACTCCTCCTTCCTCCGCCGCTCCTCGATGTCTGCCTCTGCTTCTGAAATTCCTGATTTCGAGACTGGCACTGTTTCTGAAGGTCAGGAGGACGGCAGCAGTGGGAGGTACAATCACTTGAGGGGGCCCAGCCTCGGAGGTATTGAATTGTCCCTCGATTTAATCAATCCTGATGCTACTGTTGACCTGAAAGAGATTGCAGACCGTATGATCCGATCCGGCTATGAAAAGGAATGCTGTCAAGTGTATTCTACTGTACGTCGAGATGTACTGGATGAGTGTTTGTCGATTCTTGGCGTTGAGAAGTTGAGCATTGAGGAAGTCCAGAGGATCGAGTGGCGATCTCTGGATGAGAAAATGAAGAAATGGATATATGCTGTGAAAATTATGGTGAGAGTTCTTCTGTCTGCTGAAAAACAACTTTGCGAACAGATTTTTGATGGCTCTGAACTGACCAAAGAAATATGTTTCATTGAGACTGCAAAAGGGTGTCTAATGCAGCTCTTGAATTTTGGGGAGGCTGTTGTCATAGCCCGGAGGTCTTCAGAGAAGTTATTTAGAATTCTGGACATGTATGATGCTCTTTCTGCTGTTTTACCTGATTTAGAAGTTCTTTTTTGTCATGAGGCTGGGGAAATGGTCCTTAGCGAGGCTAAGGGAGTTTTGGATGGCTTAGGAGAAGCAGCTATTGGGACATTTGTGGAGTTTGAAAATGCAGTTCGGGGAGAGGCTTCCAAAACACCTATACAAGGTGCTGAAATTCACCCATTAACTCGCTATGTTATGAATTATGTTAAATTGCTGGTGGACTATAGCAATACAATTAATGACCTTTTACCGAATGTTGAGAGTGAGTTGGAATCTGATGGCCTGCAAGTTGATGATAGCAATGATAGCGAGTTGGAGAGTAAATCACGCTTTGCAAGACGGTTGTCCTTGTTGATAAAGTCTTTGGAAGCTAATCTTGAAGAGAAGTCGAGGATGTATGAGGATAGTGGGATGCAATATATATTTTTGATGAACAATTTACTGTACATAGTTCAGAAAGTTAAAGACTCTGAGCTTCGGAAGCACTTGGGTGATTTGTGGGTACGTAAGCGGCATGGTCAGGTCAGACAATTCGCCACAGGTTATCTTAGAGCTTCATGGAGCAAAGTGTTGTCTTGTTTGAAGGATGAAGGCATTGGTGGCAGCTCAAGTAGTGCCTCAAAAGTTGCCCTGAAAGAAAGGTTTAAGAACTTCAACGCCTGCTTTGAAGAACTTTATAGGATTCAAACTTCTTGGAAGGTGCCAGATGCTCAACTTCGTGAAGAGCTTCGAATATCCATTTCAGAAAAAGTGATTCCAGCATATCGCTCCTTTATGGGGCGATTTGGTAGTCATCTAGAGAGTGGCAGACATTCAGGGAAGTACATAAAATATACGCCTGAAGATCTAGAGAATTATTTGTTGGATCTATTCGAAGGAACGCCTCTGAACATTCATCACATGAGAAGGAAAAGTTCATAAAATGCAGGTTATTTTCTGTTTGCCTCACAAGAAAAAGAAAAAGAGCCTACTTTGCATTTGCAGAATCTCTGTAATTTACCCCATCCATGTTAAAAGAATGAAAGTTTCATTCCATTTCTTTGTTAGTTTCATTCTTCTATGAAACATTCCCATTATACAAACTATGAACAGTGCTGGTATAGTTTCTGTATTTAGAGCAAAACATACAAAATTCCATGGCTATTTCCGTTCAACGAAGAAGATAAAATCTGTAGATGCATTATTTAGATAAAGGTATGAACTTCCGAGTGGCAAAGCAGTTTGCCTCTTCATTTTAATGTTACATTAGTGTATGAATGGGGCTATTTCAGTCTCAATTATTGACTAAAATTTGCATGATTTGTCCATCAACAAGGACAACATTCTGTGGGATGCAGAAAGAGATAAAAAGGATGAAAGTAATTTTTCAAATGTAATATTCTTGAGTGAAGCTGATCTGCTTAAGAAATTAAAATGGAATTACTGTTATGTTATATATATATATAATGCACAAGTAATAGCATCTCCGTTTCTTAGTTCATTATTTTACTTTTTGATATATGGTTTTCCTTTCCCTGAACCTACATGATGCAGGAGTTTTGCACACGACATTTCGTTATTTTAGACACTATGCTTTTCAAATCGTTCAAAATGGGCTAATGACTTCAACTTCTTGCATTGAAGCAAGTAGTAGAAGGTCCTTAAGCTTTGTAAGTTTGTGCAGGTGACCATCACGACCTTTATCTTGCACAAAGTTGAAGAATTTCACCTTTTGATCTCAAAAATTCTTTTGGAGACATGGTTTGCTAGTGGTTGTTTCAAAGGTTTCTGCTTTAACTTGATGATATCTTTATTTCACGGGCTTGCATTCTCCAAAAGCGATAACTTATTGTGCATATACAAGTAATTGTGCTTATGGGGTTGATGATATAAACCACAAGACAATATATTTTCTAAAGTCAATGTGTAATATGAAGTTATGAACTTTTGCTAGGGTGATATAGTGTTATTTTATTTTTATTTATTTATTTATTTGTTTTTAGGCCGATAGGCAAAAAGTAAGTTCACTTGTTTGATAAAATTCCCACATTGGACTTTTCCTCTTTTTCTCAATTAAATATCAGAAAGACAGAAACCCTTGGATTCCTTCCTGCTGCATGACTGCCCCTTTTTTCTGCTCTGCAAAAACTGTCGAGTTTTGGATTGGTAGTCCTCAATTATGTGAAGTACGGACTACGGAGTAATATTTAAATATCTATATTCATATGCTAAGCCAGTGTACTGAGAATGAAATAAATTTTTTAAAGTATGAATTATGTACCATTTTTAAGTTGCAGGAAAAGTAAAATGAATTAATTTCATTTGAGGATGATTATTACATTCAAACTGATTGAGGAATATGTTTGGTGCCTAGGAAATGTGAAATTGTGAATATATTATGGTTGGGTTGATCATAGACTCAAGAGTGGAAAATTTGAGGTTTTTAGAGGCTGAAGTTTGCTAACAATAGAGTAATTAGAGTAGCAATATGTGTCTATTTTGCAGGTTTTGTGAAGGAGATCAATGGAGGAAAGTAAAATCTGGTTTTGGGAAACAAGATATGACTGTATAGTCTATGAAAGAAATGAAGATTTTGGCTGCAACAGATCAAAGTAGGACAGAAGAGATATCATATGAAGCTTAATGAATCAGGGAGTGTAATATAGCTTTTTCTTTCATTCTTTGCCACTCCCGAGGCTTTTAAGTAACTTGCTGATATGTTTTATCAAATCAAGAAATGGGTTCATCTCAAAAACAGCACAAGCTCTTCTACGAGAAGGTACTGCAATCTTTGTTTCGTTTTTGTTTTTTTTTTTAAAAAAAAAGGTTTGTTCCTGATAGATGATGTTGCAGGTTTCTTGATTCGGCCCCGATTCATGTAGTTTTCTCGTGCTCTTTCCTTCTTCTTCTTCCAAAATACTGTCTACTGAACCATTGTTCTTTACTTATCTGTACTTAGCTGTTGTGTTGGTTCTCATTATTCTGGTTAAAACTACATTTGTTGGCAGTTGATACAGTAAAGTTTGAGGTTAGATTCACCACAGGTGAATGCCCATCACTGTTTCTTGGAATCGGACCCTACTGATCCTGCTTGGAACTATGATGAAATTGAAGTGATCAAAGGTTCCTCCCTAGGCCCTACCAGCTCAATAATTGTTTTACCTTCATAGGATGATTACAACAATTGATTGCCAATGTAGGATTAAGGGGTGTTTGGTTCTGGAAAATATTTTTCATGGAAAATGTTTTCTTAAAAGTGGAAGAAAATTTTGTTTTATGTTGTTTGGTTGAATGGAAAATATTTTTTTATTCAAAGTGGAGTTCATAGAGTTGAGGAAAATAAATTCTGTGGAAAAGCGTGGTACTTTGTTTTCTGACTTGGAAAGAAAATATAACATAGATGGACTATTATATCCTCGTGAAAGTTTTTAATTACATAACTATATAATAATATAATTTATTATCATTATTATTATTGTTAAGGACATATTGATTTTTATATTTATAAATTGTTGATAATGGATTCTATGGCACCCCAACTCAAAATATAGTACTGAATTTGTTGGATACTAATCCATTTTATGATGGGCAACCCGATCCAGCCCATGATGATTCATGGGATCCAGACCATCTGTATTCTGTCACAACAATCCCAGTAAAACCCCAACATTCTTCACACAATTAAATCGTAGATCAGGTTCATTAGGACTATATCTCATAATCATGCTAGAATTCTTCTTTTTTATATTCATTGTATTATTTTTTGTCTGATTAGGACTCTTTATATCCAGATAAATAGTCCTTTCATGTATATTGTATTATTCAAGTATTCAATAATGTTTTTTTTTTTTTTTAGTTTCATCCATCCATTTTTGTTGTGAAGGACCTCACCATCAATCATATTCTACTTAGAGGAGAGAGCTCAGGGGACTATACAAACTTCCGGTACAAAAACGTGTGACATTCGTCATATCCAAAGTGTCATTAGAAGTTTGGTACAATCGTCTTGGTCACCCTTATTCTAGAGCACTACATTAAATTCTACGTCATTGTTCAGTGCCAAAGTCATCAAGTGATAGTAGTAATTCTATTCGTTCTGCCTATCAACTAGGGAAATCCAAGATTTCCTCTATAAAGAGCTACAACATCTAGTTCGTCTATTTTAGATTTAATTTACACAGATATTTGAGGACAATTCTTGATTTTATCGAATGTAGGTCATCGTTCTTCATTGTATCTATTGATAATTATTCTAGATATACTTGGTTCTTTATCATGAAACTAAAGACATACATCTATGCTATTATTAATCAATTTAGAGCAATGGTTGAACGTGCATTTTCCACCAAAGTCAAAGCCATTCAGTTTGATCTTAGATGGTGAATACAAGAAGTGAAGAAACTTGGCACTCTTTCTTAGTCTTGGGATTAAACATTGCCAATCATGTATCTATACTCATGAACAAAACGGCCGCGTTGAGAGATATCATAGACATATTGTTGAACTGGCCTTACGTCATAGACATATTGTTGAAATTGACCTGACTTTACTTGCCCAAAGCCTCTATTCCTACTAGAGCTGTCACCCGTCGGGTTGAGCTTGTCACCCGTCGGGTTGAGCTTGTTTAACCCGTATTTTTTACGATAACTCGTGTAGAGGTACAAGTTATACGAGTTGGATCATATAACCCGTATCCCCACCGAATTTTCAACCCGACTTGCATAGGCCGGGTTGGTTAACTTGTATTTTAGACGAATTGGGTTGGAGAATTTTCAACCCGACTTGCATAACTCGTGTGGAGGTACAAGTTATACGGGTTGATTGGGCCGTATAACCCATTAAAATCTTGTTGATAAGAAGACTACTTGAACCCTTGATCTTTCATTTAATTTACCACGATTGAAACCAACTATGCTAAGAACACATTTTAAACATATTTATATAATTATATATTTATTTAGATGCATTCAAAAAAAAAATATATTTATTTAGATCTTTTACAAGCATTCTTCCTCGCCCGTCTAGAAATCTTTATATCCCTATATATGCATATAGTTCCTTCATTCATGTATATTGTACTATTAAGTATTCAATAACACACTACTGGAAATTATGGAATTTACGACCACCTGAAAATAATCTTATATCAAGTCGAAAGCAAAAAGTGGTCAGAAATAGCAACAAAGGTTTTTCCGGATACCAAAAGTGGTCGGAACAAGGCTTTCGACTTGATTTAAGATCACTTTCAGGTGGTCGGAAATTCCATAATTTCCCGCAGTGACAATTCATTTTTCCAGAAATATTATTCTTCTCAGATTTATTGCTCTCACCAGATTTACTATGTGCATTGAACCTTGGTCTATAACTCTATATTATGTACATTCAATTTGTTACATTCAGTTATTTAAAATATAATCCGTGTTAACTGAATATACATTCACAATGGTCATGATAAATCTTAATTGACGATATAACGATTGCATTATGCAGGTTATGGGTTGTGGGTTACCCTGAATATTAAAATGAGAATAATAATATCTCAAAAAATAAAAATAAAAATAAAAATGAAAATGATGAGATTGAAATTGAAATGTGGACCGGAGGGTTGAGGGAGGAATGGCGTGGAAATGGGGCATGAGGAAGCTAGAATAAAGAAAAGCGATGCCGTAGTACTGAAAGGTGGACGGAGAGAATTAAATTAAAAGAGGTTTTTATTGTACGATATGATACACACCACACACATTATACATACAACGTAGCAGTAGTTGTTAGACGACCAAGTCCACATTTACAATCAACTTAGGTTTGATTTTTGTGTTCTCATTTCTCCCAATTGTCAATCCTTTTGGTATTAGTCAGTGTCCCAATATCATTATTTCTGCGACTTCAATTCCAAACCTTTAATTTGGATCCTATCCGACAAAACCCACATACCTAGCTAGGTTAATTAATTGATTGGAATTATATTGCTGCCGTTTCAACAATATAATGTATGTTCACATGCTGTGGCTGCAAATGGGGCAACGACTAATCAGTTTCAATGCCCATGCATACCATCATCTTCTACTATACAATTAATTAAATTCAATCAACTAATATCACTTCTTCATTCATTATAATTCATGGTGAATAACTGAACATACACATACAACATCTGGTATCTCTATTACGGTGAAACTAATTTGAATTTGGTTCAGATCACAGCCACTCTTTACTTGAGAAGGCGAGACCTAGAGCTCTTAGCTTTAACATGTTGCACTTCAATTCTACACGAGTCGGTCATCTAATCTTATAGTACAGTTGAATGACACAGCTAGAGTGAATATATACATACAACATCTAGTATCACCGTCCACTCTTTACTTGGGGAAGGTGAAACCTCGAGCTCTTTGACATGTAGTCACACTTTTACAGGAGTCAATCATCTAATCTTATAGTTGCATGACACATGGTGAATATATACATACAACATATGGCCTGGTATCTCTATTACTATGAAATTAATTTGAATTTGGTTCGGGTCACGTCCACTCTTTACTTGGGAGAAGGAGGACCTAAAGCTCTTTAACATGTTACACTTTTATAGGAGTTGATCATATATATGGTTTTATAATTGCATGACATACACATGGTGAATATATACATACAACATCCGGTATCTCTATTACTGTGAGATTAGTTTGAGTTTGATTCGGGTCACATCCACTTGTTACTTTGGAGAAGAAGGTGATTTAATTTAAAACTCTTTAACATGTCGCACTTCTATATAAGTCGATCATATCACTACAAGAAAAATGCATATAGAACCGTTGTCGTAGGGGTAAAATTTCTGTTGTTGAAGCCAGTGTTGTTGTAAGTCCTGTGTATAGACAACGGTTTTTAATCGTTGTCTTTTCTAGAAACAACAATGGTTTTTGAACCGTTGTCAATTAAGTGTTGTTGAAATCGGTGTTGTTAAAAGTCACGCACATAGACTAACGGTTTTTAACCGTTGTCTTTTCTAGAAAAGACAACAACGATTTTTGAGCCGTCGTCTATTGTGTGTTGTTGAAACCAGTGTAGTTAAAAGTCACACACATAGACAACGTTTGTCTTTTCTAGAAAAGACAACAACGATTTTTGAGCCGTCGTCTATTGTGTGTTGTTGAAACCAGTGTGGTTAAAAGTCACACACATAGACAACGTTTGTCTTTTCTAGAAAAGACAACGGTTTTTGAACTATTGTCTATTGAGTGTTGTTGAAACCAGTATTGTTAAA